CCACCCCTAATCCCCTTTACATAGACCTTATCTCTCTTTGCCAAGGGTTAACATATTTTATGGCCCCCTTCTCACCCCCCTCGTCTTTATTTGTCCAACATTCTCCCGAACATATGTGTCTCTTGGACTATATTCTGTCCGCATATTATTTGTGATAATAATCATGAGATGCCACTGACGATTTAAATGACCACATGGGTAGCCCAGGATTTGGGATTATTGCCCTAAATTTGCTTTTTGCTTTGAAAAACACTGATTCGATTTTCTTGTTATTTACATGCAAAAAATGTAATCTGTACACCTTTCTGCACTGTTTCCCCCACTGATTTTGTAAAACCTTTGAAAATGTGAAAATAAAGAATTTATAAAAAAAATATGCATCCACTGAGGCCAAGAAGTCTCCCAGATGAAAGGACAATGGTGGCAGCAACATTAGCGACAAACTATTTAAAATTAACTCCATTACAAAAACTAGAGGCTACCACCTAAAACTGGTGGAAAAAAAATTCCTGCACAAGGGGCGAAGGGGGTTCTTCACAGTTAGAGCGGTTAGGGTCTGGAACTCACTGCCACAGACAGTGATTTCAGCTAAGAGTGTGGAATTGTTTAAGAAACTTTTGGACGATTTCCTGAGGGACCGTAAAAATACTATGTAACTATGTAACTATGTAACATTAGTCCATCAAGTCCAACCTATAGGATCTCATTCTTAGGAGTACTTGTACCCCTGTATATTACGGTCCCTCAGGAAATCGTCCAAAAGTTTCTTAAACAATTCCACACTCTTAGCTGAAATCACTGTCTGTTATGTTACATAGTTACATAGTTACATAGTATTTGAGGTTGAATAAAGACATTAGTCCATCAAGTCCAACCTATTAGGATCTCATTCTAGGAGTACCCGTACCCCTGTATATTACGGTCCCTTAAGAAATCGTCCAAAAGTTTCTTGAACAATTCCACATTATTTGCTGAAATCACCGCCTGTGGCAGTGAGTTCCAGACCCTAACTGATCTTACTGTGAAGAACCCCCTTCGCCCCTTGTGCTGGAATTTTTTTTCCATCAATTTTAGGTGATGGCCTCTAGTTTTTGTAACGGAGTTAATTTTAAACAGTTTATCGCTAATGTTGCTACCACCATTAAACATTTTGTACATGGAAATCATATCCCCCCCTTAATCTCCTCACCTCTAATGTGAACATGTTTAAATTTAGTAGCCTCGTCTCGTAGCTCTGGTCCTCCATACCCCTAATTAGTGTCTTTATTCAACCTCAAATACTATGTAACTATGTAAGACAGAGCCGGTGGATTCAGACCACAATGTTTGAACCCACAGGAAGTGATTGAGGATCTGCAGGTCTAAGATAGTAGACATCCCCTCCCTTAGCTTTGGGCACAGTGTGGCGGTTGAAGTAAAACCCCTGGAGGATTTCTGCTTCCAGGCTGGGAACTATATTGGAGAAAGAAGCTGACTTGTGAGAAGAATCTTGCAGAAAAATTTCAGCGAAAAAACGTGTAAAAGAGAGTACTTCTTTTAGAGCTGAGAGATGTCCATCACCTAAGGAGACTAAGAAAAAGTGAGTCAGGCTGGGAGGGGTTATACAGGTCGTGCAGTGTCCAATCACCTGAAGGTAGCTGCAAAACTCAGTGGTCTAAGGATTTAACTGTGTAAAAATTGTATAGGCCCGGGGTGTCCGACGTTTGTGCTAAAGATGAAATAAAAAGGAGGAAGAAGCACTACGACCTAGCACAGGTAAAAGAAGGTGAAGGGGTGAAGAATGTGTGAGATGTTATACTCACATGTAATTGGGTGGAACTGAGCCTTGGTGTTTAAGAACTCTTGAAGGTAGTGCGATGCTTGCTGTGTTTGACTTGAGGTGGGACCTCTGATGTGGTGACGTAGGGGTCAAAATTGGATAAATATTGACACGGTGAATAATCTGGTGTAAGCAGAAAGCAGGTGTGTAATACATGAACTCACCATGGAGTAAATAAAATTGCGGGCGGTAAGCTGTCGGGGTGGAAAGGCCAGTCAGTAGACATGTGTGATTCGTTTCGTTCCGAATCGAAATTTGGACGAAATTTCGGAAATTCGGTCATTCAGATGTATCCGAATTACAGTTATAACGAATGCAAATGAATCCGAATTTCCGATTCCGAAATTCGTTAGCGGTAGTCTGGATGAAATTTAGGTGCAGCAAAAAAAAAAAGTGAGGTCCCCCCCCAATTCATACCAGACCCTTTAGGTCTGGTAGGAATGTCAGGAGGGATCCCCCAAGTTAAAAAAAAAAAGTGCGTGGGGTTCCCCCAAAATCCATACCAGGCCCTTTAGGTCTGGTAGGAATTTTAAGGGGGAACACCAGCCCCAAAAATTAGGAAAAAAAAGTGGGTTCCCACCTAACATTCCTACCAGACTCTTGATCCAAGCACTGGCCCAGCAAAAATCTTCCAGGGGTTTTACTTCAACTGCTACACTGTCCCCAAAGCTAAGGGAGGGGGTCTCTACTATCTTAGACCTGCAGATCCTCAATCAGTTCCTGTGGATTCAAGCATTGTGGTCTGAATCCACCTGCTCCGTCTTTGTCTCCCTTCATCTGGGAGACTTCTTGGCCTCAGTGGATGCATATTAACACATCCCAAAATTCCCTGCTTACCGATGTTATTTTCATATTTATTGCTCTTCCTTTTGGTCTGCCCACTGCACCCAGGGTGTTCACCAAGGTGCTGGCCCCTGTCTTGGCCATGCTGTGCTGCCAGGTGAACCCCATGGTGGGGTACTTGGACAACCTACTCCTCAGTGAGCAGTAGGAGTCAGTACTGTTTTCCAACATTCAGCAGATGATACACTACAGATGGATCCTAAACCTCCAGAAATCAGCACTGAAGCCCTCTCATTGCTCTGAATGCATGGGCCTGGTCTTGGATACATCCCCGTAAAGAAGAAGTTGCAGTCTCTCTGCTCTCACATTCAGATCCTACAATCCAGTAAGCATCCAACCATTTACTTTTGCATGAAAGTTTTGGCCCTGACGGTAGCCTCCTTCGTGGGGGATGCTATTGATGAGAGAAACACAATCCACAAATATCAGTCCTAAGTCTTTTTATTAGGACAGATCACTGTGAAGGTGTTCAGAAAAACCTGGAATCAGCCATTTTGCCTGCTGCAACAAAACATCTAAAAAGATGAGAAATATTTTATTTTTCACTACACTGTGTGAATGGCATATAAACATGTAGAGGGATTTTCTCAAATATGACTGCAAAAGTGGAAATATACTTTTGCATCCTTACTGCTTGTAAATGCCTACTCTTCCTCCACATCGGTAACAGGGTCTCAAATTTGAAGGTTACCTGGCTACTGCTGTTGGAATTCTGACAGCTCTGGATGCGGAAAAGCTCTAGGGAAAACACTGAATAAAAGTTACTTAGGATCATAGAAGAGATTAAATAAATGTTTTCTTCACACAAAAGATACATTCTGCTGTTGTGCTTTTATTTTAAGTACTAGTAAATAGTTGCCTAATATTTAAGGTTTTCTTCTTGATCCATGTTAACAGCGGTACTTATCAATTTTTTTTTTTGCCAATTTTGCTCCCAAAACATCTTTGTCACCTGTACCACTTGAGTGAATTGCCTGTCAGGGAGAACACACTGTTTAGGTCATTCACGCAAAGACCAATTACAGGGAAATCGTCTGACAATCTAAAAGCTGGTAGGCAGAGTAGCACTGCACTCCCAGACATGGCTAGCTAGGTTTGTGCCGGCTCTTTGTGTACAGCTGTCGCTCCCGCAGCCTGCATGTAAGGGTGGCTCCAGAGAGACTCTAGAAGGCAGGGAGCCACCCTACAGGCATAACTGTGCATAGGAAGTCCTACTTCTCATTTTTGAGAAACGTGGCGATTAAGAATAAAGTGACCCAGCAATGAAGCAAGTGAATGATGCTTCTACAATGTATATAGTAGTTAAAGCGGACCTTTACCCATCCCCCCCTGGGCAAAAAAAAACAAAAAATCAAATAAACTCTGCATGCGGATATAAAATCATCTTATATTCATTAGTGAAACAAACATATTTTAATTATACTAACAATTTTGTTGTTTTGTACTTCCTAGTTCTCTTTTGCACAAGTGATGTAACCTTCCCAGGATGCAACACTTGGGCACGATTACATCAGCTGTATTGCTGGGAAATCTCATGAAAACCCAGGGAAAGGCAGATGTGCATGGTCACATGTCCTAGTGTGCCAGAGTTCTAGGAAGTAAAGGGAGATGGATTCACCTGCCCTTAGTAAACAATGGCCACTGTGAGAAGATTGGGAAGGAAAAGAAAAAAACAGGAATGTAAAAAATAAACAGCCAGCAATTATCTAGAAGTATGTGTTTGTAGAATGTCATTACCAAACATGTCTAAAGGTGTATTTGTTGTCATTTTGAAGATACGGGTAAAGTTCCTCTTTAATGACTATCTTTCCAATTGACAAAAAACAAAGAAAAATAGAAAAACATTTTATTTTTTTTACATTCAGCAAGAGGTAATAGTCAACATGATGTGAGAACAGCACCCTGCTGGGTTTAAGCTTCAAAACCAAACTATGCTTAGTACGAACCCAGAATGTCCATCATACAGATTGTAATATTTAGTATACTTTACAAAAAAAAAATTGAATAGTCTGAGAATAGCTCAACATTTTTCGATAAGTATTGCACTTTACATAATGATACAAATGACACCCAAAGATGGAGACAACATGATGGTAGTTAATATTTTATGTTGCTCTGTGGCTTCTAGTGGATTGTTTTATGTTCTGCTTTGGAAACAAATTAAATGTTACGTCATTAGTGTTTGATACAGTACAAAATTATTGTAGGATTAAGAAAAATCATCAACGGAATAAGTTTAGTGTCCCCATTACTTTAACCCTCATAGAAATATGATTGTATTAAACAATATATACAGCCAGAGTAGACGCCTCCGTATAATGACACTGCATCAGGAATGTCAACTTTCAAGTTCATGCGGTAAATGGGTCAAGTCTTTACTGATAGCAGTTGGCTCTTTTTCTGTAGGGGATGGGTTAGATTCTTTTATTTCAGACTTGCATCTTGTCTTGTCTTTTTCATCATTACAGATTTCCTGTATTTCTGAAGACTTCTGGTCTTTTTCTACTGTGCATGTTTCTTGTATATTTGAAGAATTTTGGTGTTTTTCAGCTGCAGATGCCAAAGACAGTTTTCTGGCTTCAGCCTCCTGACACTGCAACATGCGGTCTACTTCGATCTCTAGTTCCATTGCCTCATCATCAGTCTCCATTTCTAGCTGCTGCATAAGCTCTTCAAGACGCTTAGCTTTACGTAGCTCGTTTTGTTGTATGATTGTACATAGGTGTTCTGTTAGCTGCTCCTTGATCTGAGTTTTCTTGTGCAAGTCCAGTTTGGCTGCAACAAATTCAGATTCTGCACGATCATAGCGTTTTCTGCGGATAAACAGAATACATTTGAATTCTGATGGCATATTCAATCATTTCCCCAAAACACATTTTCTCAAGAAAATAATTTACCTATTTATTTTAAACAGGAAGGTGCTTCAAAAGGCCACAGCAACCAGCAGTTAGCTATGAAAGTTGATCAGCAATTTGCAGGTGCTACATCATGTTGACATTTTTTTTTTTATTATTTAAAGGCTTTAAGTTAACCTTTTGCAAAAATTAAAGAAATGCATATTTGATAATATATAAAAAAAAAACGAAAAAAAAAAACATTTTTTCATTTTTGCATTCAAGCCTGGAAAGCATTGTCAGGTGATCACTCAATCAGGGCTGCAGAGCTCAGGCTTCTGCACAGTCTCACACAGGCAGAGCTCCGTACTGAGGTAGAGTTTCAGTTAGAAGAGATGGAGAAGGACAGCTGGACAGGAATAAGGACAGCTCTACCGCATCTAACCAGAGAGAGGATGGCTGGATGCTGTATGAGGGGATTTAATGCAGTTTGAAGTCCAGCCGTCCTTCCCAATCTCTCCTAAATGAAACTCCGTACCTCAGTACGATCTCTGCCTGGGAGAGAATGTGCAGTGTCCCTTAAATGCACATTGTAAGGTGTTCAATTTCATGCTACCTATAGAGTCCTATATGTATAAGCCTGCTCCACCAAGCAACTAGAAAGGGAATTTTTTTTAAATTAATTTTTATGTATACCGGGTGAATGGGAATACATGACAAAAATATAGTGGGGGGTTCTCAAATGTGAGGGCAAAAGTGAAGGAAAAAGTGGAAATTGGAATTAAAGCTGAGCAGCGGTGTTCTTCAGATCATGGTAGATACAACAAAAAAATGATCCATAGATTTAGGCAGTTTATGTTAAATGAAAAACATACCAGGGCTATAAAAGCGGAGCCTGACCCTTTTTTCTCATAAGCTACCTATTGGTCATTAGGGCTGCCCATTACAATGGAATTGCGAGATAAAAGAGGGGCAAGACGTACAGAAATCGACAAGCATTGTAGAATATTTCTGTAACGGAGACTTATTTTCTTAGAGGACTGAACATGCATTGATAAGAGTAAGCATGACTCTTTGAGTTGAAGATAGACAGACACGCATACATATAATCCAGTCTATAGAACTTTGTGTTCTCCTAAAATCTACATCCTACTGTACAGTACGACATCCAAATCCTTTCACTCCCTAGTTTGACAGCCATACCCTGCACCCCAGTATGCAGACAGCCAAACCTCCTTTCTTCCAGGAATGAAAGGAACATACGGTTCCTTCTCCTTGGGAGGGAACCACATGCAACTATTTCCCCCACCCAACTACCAGAATTACACAGCATTCATCTACAGATATAAATATTTATAATACATTTATAAATATATAAAAAACATTCTCAAATAATTCTTCTAAAATCAGGTGCACTTTGCAACATGCCCCCACTGATGCCTTCTTGGCCTATATACAATATGAAGATTGTTTGTCCTGTGTACCGAAAGGTACACTTTTGAGGAGTGTGTGTATATAGTGACAAAGTAACAATAAGAAAAAAAATACTCTGAAGAAGGGGGAGGTCTTAAGTCCCTGAAACGTGTTGGCTGTTCTATATTGTTGTTTGTAAACCAATACCAATGGTTTTTGGACTCTCAGACTGTTTAATTGGCGCTCTCATTATACTTTATACACATGAAGCAAACCATGACCACTTAAAGAAGCTGCATCAAGGGACGTTAAGTAATATCAGAAGCAGGTTTAAATAACTTATTCTGCTTACTAAAAGGAAAGCAAACTATATGGAGCTCTTGTCTATTATGTACCTACAAGCACTTTAAAATTTCTAGTGTATATTTAATTTTTTTAATAGAATTAAAAAACAAGTTTATAGTATACGAAAAACACAGTAAGTGCCAATATACTTCTAAGTGTCCAATGAGGGGGGGGGGGGCAGAAAGCGAAAGACATTACTTAACTTTTTTACATTATACACAATTCAAACATCACTAGATAACACTAGGCCAAACAAAGCTGTACCACTGCTTACCTGGCATGGGAAAATTCTATGCATGCTTGTTCAATCCGTGAACGTAATATGCCAATATCTGTAGACACCAAATCATCCAAGGCCTGAAGCTGCCTTTGAATGTTCTTAAGTTTCAAAGCTTCTGCCTGAGTTTTTTTCGATCTACATAGAAAATAAATGATCATAAATAATATAAAACCAAGATTATAATTTATGCAGTAGCCTTTCTGAAACACAAACACGAAGGCCTCATGCACCTACACAGCTGTGTATATGAGCCCAAAGAAGAAAAACATCAAAAAAACACTGGACTTCTACAGTCGTGTGTAGGAGTCCTAAACCATTATAAATATGTAAATGTTTTTATACAGCTTTTTAACAGAGGTACACAATTTCTTTAATTGCGAATATGATTCCGAGTATGGCAAAGGTTGTGGTCATCCACAAAACATGAGGTATACTTCCAAACAGTGAATGTCACACTAACTGTTTTATAAATATGTTGCTATTGTTTTCTAATCCGCAGTTCTACTCCAATACTCTTCTCCACTTCTCCAACAATCACTCCCCTAAAGCAGACATTCAAGTGGTGTTGACCTCATATATACAGTACATTGCAGTTCAAGACAAGCTCCTACACCCACAGGGTAAAGCTTTTTTTTTATGAAGCAGACAAAGTTCTCTCAGTGGGTGGCCCCGTCTGCTGGCTCCCGCCCGACATTTTTTACCTGCAAAATCTGAGACAAGCAGAAAATTATTGGCTGAACAGCTCAATCGGATGCAGGCACTGTCCAGGTATTTTGAAAGCCGGCGGGGTTGTTTGTCAGAATACTAACTGCAGTAAGAGATTATTTCATGCACACTGTTAAGCGTGAATACAGGAATCTGTTCTGTGAACTAAAAAAGGAAATCTAAGTTCTTCGTGCTGTCTGTTCCTCTGAATTGGTCTGGGATAGTCTGAAAACCTTTTGCTGTACAATTTGGCACGATGTAGAGAAGAGGAAGAATATGCAGCTTAAATAAAAATGACAAGCTTACATAAAGCATGCATAAGTCAGAACAGATGGGATAACCTGTCATACAGAAC